CTACCGTTTGTTGGACACAGCTGTTTTGTACGAGTAAGTCTTTTAAATTTAAAGATTTGGTCGTTTCAACTACGTTAAAAATATAATTCTTTAATTTGTAATATATAAATAAAAAACTTTCTTTAAACTAGGCTTCATTTAAATTGGGCTTCCTGTGCTAAGACTTTTCCTTTCGGACTTCGGCCATCAGGTGGTCATAGCACGCTTTGTACGAAAAGAGTATGTCAAAACTTACAATATCATGTTCGGGCCTACAAAGAACTATTTCTCTAAATGATGGTAATGTAATGCCAATGTTTGGGCTTGGTTTATTTGGAAGCGATGCTGTGAAATCGACAACGTTTAGCCTGCAGCATGGTTATCGGTTATTGGACACAGCTTTCATGTACAAGTACGCTCTCTACTTGGTAGCAAAATTTTATATTGAATGGAATTCGGCGTCAAATATGATGTTTTTAAGGACTATAGACATAATCTTCATGCGTGATTTACAAATATTCAAAAATTTGCTCGGGCAAAATGAAAAATAATAACTTATCTAAAACAGGTTTAGAATTGTACCAATACCAGCTTTGTTAAGTCCCATTTTCATTTTAAGTGAAGGAAATGGAAAATGAGATAGAAAAATGAGCCGCTTATATGTACTGTCTGGCATTAGTCTCCATGACTTGGTGAAGAGCAACATAAWAGTGGCACTGAGACCAATCCATTCTTCTTAGCATATTATTGTAACGCGTGGATTTCACTAGCGCATAAGCATAAGCACGAAGCACGAGAGTCATATGCGTCAGTGAGAACGGGCTCAAAATAAGCATAAGCATGAGCACAAGAAAAACGAGCAAGGCTTGATCTTCTTGTGCTTATCTCATGCTTATCTCAGGCTTATTCCCAGTGAGAAYGGGACTGCATAGGCATAAGCATAGCCTGGTACCGAAATAATACGCTTGTGCGCATGCTCAATGTCTTATGCTTATGTCGAGCCCGTTCTCACTGGCGCATATGATTCTCATGCTCGTGCTTATGCTATGCTTATGCGCTAGTGAAATCCACGCTTTAATATTGTTGKTTTTTTGTAGGAATGAAAAAGAAGTTGGTGAAGGAATACGGAAATCAGGAATAAATAGAAAAGATGTTTTTGTTGTTACAAAGATTGGTCCGTATGCCAAGAAGCATGGTTATGATCAGGCTATTAATGGTGTTAAGACGAGTTTAGAGAGGTAAATCATAATAGGCTCCCTCCTGGGTAAGGTAGTTTTCCCTATGGAGTCAGGGGGGCTGCAGGGYGTGGGATTTGCTAGGGGGGAGTTTGGTATTGCTTGGTGTATACTGTATATTTTACCAGGATCAGACTGATTGAACACCAAATAGAATAGACCCAGAACATTCAAGAAAACTGGCCCAAGATGTGATAGATGTCTTTGTTAATGGCAGGGTTGTAGAAACCATGCAGCATATTGRTGGACCCATGCCTTTAATAATGGACATAAACCTTGTTGCTTAAAGTGTCATTCTAACATAAACATTGTTGTTGTTTTTTAGTTTAGGCACAGGTYACATWGACCTTATGCTCATTCATACTCCAACACCAGGAAAACTCTTAGCAACTTACGATGGACTATTAAAGATGAAAGAAGAAGGACTTGTCAGGTTAGTGTAATCTATTTCCCTATTTTTTTTTATCCATCCTTTCATCCATTCATTTCATCCATTCATTTACCTTTTCAGTCAATCATTTTTTCATTCCCAATTTATTTGTAAGCCATTTTTTTTTCACTTGTGATTATATCTTGCTGCACCCTTTCTTGTTGTAAATTTTTGTACTCAATCTTTACAGATCTGTTGGTGTGTCCAATTTTGGTGTTCATCACCTTGAGGAACTGCGTAAAGCTGGAAAACCAACACCAGCTGTCAATCAAATTGAATTAAACTGCTTCTGGCGCAAGGAAGATATTGTGGAGTATTGTCATAAACATGACATAGCAGTAATGGGWTATAGCCCATTATTCCGAAATAGAAAGTCTGATGATCCAGTACTTGTTGAAATGTCTAAAAGGTGAATAAATTAAAGTTTTAAACTCCTTTAATAACTC